AGCAATTTCAGTAAATCAGTAAATCAGTAAACCAGTAAATCAGTAAATCAGTAAATCAGAAAATCAGTAAATCAGTAAATCAGTAAATCAGTAAATCAGTAAATCAGTAATTCAGTAAATCAGAAATTCAGTTAATCAGTAAATCAGTAAATCAGTAAATCAGTAAATCAGTAAACTAGTAAACCAGTGAACCAGTAAATCAATAAATCAGTAAACCAGTTTATCTGTAAATCAGTAAATCAGTAAATCAGTAAATCAGTAAATCAGTAAATCAGTAAATCAATAAATCAGGTAATCAGTAAATCAGTAAATCAGTAAATCAGTAAATCAGTAAATCAGTAAATCAATAAACCAGTAAATCAGTAAATCAGTAAATCAGTAAATCAGTAAATCAGTAAATCAGTAAATCAGTAAATCAGTAAATCAGTAAATCAGTAAATCAGTAAACCAGTAAATCAGTAATTCAGTCAATCAGTAAATCAGTAAATCAGTAAATCAGTAAATCAGACATTCAGTTAATCAGTAAATCAGTAAATCAGTAAACCAGTAAATCAGTAAACCAGTAAACCAGTGAACCAGTAAATCAGTAAATCAGTAAACCCGTTTATCTGTAAATCAGTAAATCAGTTAATCAGTAAATCAGTAAATCAGTAAATCAATAAATCAGTAAATCAGTAAATCAGTAAATCAGGTAATCAGTAAATCAGTAAATCAGTAAATCAGTATACCAGTAAATCAGTAAATCAGTAAATCAGCAGATCAGTAAATCAGTAAATCAGTAAATCAGTAAATCAGTAAATCAGTAAATCAGTAAATCAGTAAATCAGTAAATCAGTAAATCAGTAATCAGTAAATCAGTAAATCAGTAAATCAGTAAATCAGTAAATCAGTAAATCAGTAAATCAGTAAATCAGTAAATCAGTAAATCAGTAAATCAGTAAATCAGTAAATCAGTAAATCAGTAAATCAGTAAATCAGTAAACCAGTAAACCAGTGAACCAGTAAATCAGTAAATCAGTAAACCAGTTTATCTGTAAATCAGCAAATCAGTAAATCAGTAAATCAGTAAATCAGTAAATCAGTAAATCAGTAAATCAGTAAATCAGTAAATCAGTAAATCAGTAAATCAGTAAATCAGTAAATCAGTAAATCAGTAAATCAGTAAATCAGTAAACCAGTAAATCGGTTTATCAGTAAATAAGTAAATCAGTAAATCAGTAAATAAGTAAATAAGTAAATCAGTAAATCAGTAAACCAGTAAATCAGTTTATCAGTAAACCAGTAAATCAGTTTATCAGTAAATCAGTAAATCAGTAAATAAGTAAATCAGTAAATCAGTAAATCAGTAAATCAGTACATCAGTAAATCAGTAAATCAGTAAATCAGTAAATCAGTAAATCAGTAAATTAGTAAATCAGAAAATCAGTAAACCAGTAAATCAGTAAATCAGTAAATAAGTAAATCAGTAAATCAGTAAATCAGTAAATCAGTAAATTAGTAAATCAGAAAATCAGTAAATCAGTAAATAAGTAAATCAGTAAATCAGTAAATCAGTAAATCAGTACATAAGTAAATCAGTAAATCAGTAAATCAGTAAATCAGTATATCAGCAAATCAGTAAATTAGTAAATAAGTAAAACAGTAAAGCAGTAAATCAGTATATCAGCAAATCAATAAATTAGTAAATAAGTAAAACAGTAAAGCAGTAAATCAGTAAATCATTAAATCAGTAAATCAGTAAATCAGTAAATCAGTAAATCAGTTATCAGTTAATCAGTTAATCAGTTAATCAGTAAATCAGTAAATCAGTTAGTCAGTAAATCAGTAAATCAGTAAATCAATAAATCAATAAACCAATAAATTAATAAAACAATAAATAAAATCAAAAAATTAATGAATCAGTAACCAATTTTGAACCGCAGATATTGTGAGCAATAAGCAATTTTTTTCGAAAAATTCTAATAATAATATACGATTTGATTTCTCATCAATTTTCAAAATCCTAAAGCTCACAAGTTTTCCCTAGTTCAAAGTGTACATTTTAAAAAATCAATGCCTTAAACGTAAATTCCAATCACAGTATCTCAAATAAATCTCACGATTAAACTTTCTAAGAAGGGTGTACCGAATAGATAGTCATTTTTATTATATCATTCAAGATTAACAAAATCAATGAAAACCTAATTTTAAAGAACGAGGGAAGGGGAGCATAGCATAAAATAATGTCATGAGTCACGACAAATCAATTTTAGAATATTTATGCACAGAAGGCCGAGGGATCAAAATATCGATTGAAAAAAGGTAGAATGTACAAAAATTCGCATGGTTAAAATAGAGACAAAAGGTTGAATGAACAAATTATCGAATGTGAAAAAGGTCGAATTGGCACAAGGTCGAATGGACAAATTGTCAAATGACAAAAGGACATGGTCGAAAGACAAATATCGATTTTTATGATTAGTAATTTAATATTCAGCGTTACGGTGTCTTAAGTCTGTCAAGTATTATTTTCACTATTTATCATCTGGCCAAGGGGGCTTTCCAATTCGACATTTGCCCCTCTTTGAATCATTCGGCGTTTTTCTTTATTCAACCTTTTGTTCCCCTTCTCATCTATCTTATGTTTTGTCCTTCTCATCATTCGACGTTTTGAACTTCTTTGAATTATTCGGTCTTGTGTCCATTTGACCCTTTGTTATTCGACGTTTTGTCCATTCGACCATTTTATTTTGTCCCTCTTTGAATCGTTAGATCTTTTGTCTCTCGTTGAATCATTCGACCATTTGTCCATTCGTCCTTTTGTTCGTTCGACCTTTTGTCCTCCTTCTCATCATTCGAACTTTAGTCTATTCGACCTTTTGTCCCCCTTTTCACCATTCGACCTTTTGTACCTTCGACCTTTTGTACCTTCAACCTTTGACCTTTCGTCCTTTCGAACTTTTGTCATACAATCACATTTTTACATACAACAGGGCAAATCAAACGTTGTACCTGCAAAGGTATCGTCCACCATAGGAATTCCAATCACCGCCCGCTCATTCATTCAGTTTCGACTTATTCTCATTTCTTAACAGCGCAACTGTGTTATTGGAAAATTAGCAACCACTGTATGGCTTCTTCGGTTTGGTTTGCCTAGCTCTTGGTTCTCTACTGCGTCCGATGGTGTGTGCCCATTTCCTAGGATTGGTGTTAGGCTGGTATCAGCGAGCTGCATATGACGAGCAGCGCATTCGCTACTTACTTTAGAAGCCGATGTTATTAGATGCTCTCAATCGCAAAGTGCTTGTTCTGATTTTAACAGTAGGGCCGTTCTAGTTTGAGTTAGTTTTTGAAAAAAATATTTGCAGTGAAATATTTTCGGTTATATGTATTATTTCGGTTAAACTGCTTACTTCCGTGATTGCGAAAACATGCGAAAATTTCAGTCCACTGCACGTATATTCCTGCTTCCGGCTCACGGTAGCTTACGTCTGGTCGTATACCGCCCTAATTGAATTGATGCACCACAATTGATTCCACAATCCAGCAACGATGTCCAGCACAACAACAACGGTCCAAATCCTGCGAAGCTCGATGTCATCGGGTCAATCCCGTTTCCACCTCCACAAATTTCCCACTAAGAGCACCCTCCTTGCCGCAATTTTCGGAAAATCCCTGCTCGCTGTTCGATGTGGGTAGCTCACTGTGGTAAATTGGATTAATGTACATTGCGCGGAGCTTAGATTCGCAATTATTGATGAGAAGCTACTCATGGGCTCATAGTTTGGTGGTCATGGTGGTGTTTTTACTATTCTTACAAAGAAGGGTATACATCCCGCATGGAAAACCGACTTTCGATCCGAGGCTCGGTGGGCCGTGTGCCACATACCAATCAACTTAGCTCGAGATCGAAAAATGTATGTGAGTGTGTGTGGGCGTAATAAATTTTCTTTTAAGTCGTGTTTTTCAGCAACAACGCAACAACCGTCAAATGAATGGTATCATGGTACCATAGAACGCTTTTCATAAGCTTTCGAATCGGTCATCTGGTTCCGGAGATATGGCTGGAACAAGTTCCGGTGAATACATATTTTAGGAAATAAGTCGTGTTTTTCGGCAACCACTGAACCTAATGGGACGCAACAACCACCACTACCAATGAAAGGTAGTAAGGTCGCATAGATCGGTTTTGGGTATTTTTTAAAATGAGACTAAAAACAACCAGATCAATGGAAGCCATTTGAAGTGCCTAGGACAATACTGACCACATCTACCCATGGTCGGGGTATCTCCGGAGAAGTCACCAATTTCTGACTAGGGTAAAAATACATCATGTGATATCTCATAAGAATTCAACTATTTGTTTGCACACTTTTGTTGGGATATCTATTAGTAAGTAGGATCAGATCTCACCATAGGTGGCCTTATTCGGGTTTTTTTTTTCTTCTCGGAACTGCTTATTCGAGTAATTTGGAAAATTTGTTTGTGCTGCGCTGCTTTGTCAGTTGTGACAACGGCCATCGGTCACCCTTCACCGCGCAGGCAGGGAGTGCAAGTTCAAGTGTTACTTTTCGCACTACCTTTTCACAGGTTCATGCCAACGTGTACGAGTGTGTGACAAATCTGGGATTATCGCTTGCGTGCATGACCCTGATGATGGTGGACAGCACCGCCATCGGCAAAATTAGAAGTGTTTGCTATCATTGATGAGCTTCGTTGGGGATTATGTCCAATGAACTGAAAATTATGGTTGTTGCTTAGTTGTTCAATCATGCACAATGGCCAAGTGAGAAGATTTTAGAGGGAAACATATGTTGGCTCAACGAGTATTGAAAACAATTTTCTGTGAATACACGCACATTATATTATTTATTTATTTGTACCTTTGCCATTTGTTTGCTATTATTTTTTTTACATTAGATATATAAGGCATCTTTGTGTTGTACTCATGCTAGCTCAAGTTCAAGTTTATATCATATCTTTGTCGAGCTGCTTCATCCTTCCTAAATGGACACTGACTAATTTTTAACTCATTTAGCTGGAGTTCGTTGTTGCGGCGGTATTGTTGGGTTCAGCGGGCGTTTCCCAGTAGGCATCATCCTTGTGATGTTCTTCTTTCTCCAGTTGACGCATCGCTGGTGACTTCAGGATTAGGCCTGTAACAAAAAAAAAAACAACAGTTTCGATTAGTGAAAACACTCTTTATGGAGCAGTTCCACGTGAAATAGGTAAATGATCAGATTTGAGTTGTTCCGATTTAAATGAAACTTTGCCTACGTTTCCGACAGGAGGAAATATGCTAGTTGTTCGCGGGACTCTTATTCTAACATCGAATCTGACTGTCAGGCATTTGCCTCATTTGCCTCTAACTTTTATCATCAACAGAATTCAGTAAAATGATCTATGGAGATTTTGTAGGTTTTCATATAAGCTACAAATTTTATCACTACACACTTAGAAAAAATCATGTAAATTTAGGTGCTCTGAGAGTGCCATATACGAGCGTCAATTTTGACATAAATTTGAGTCATAACAGACGCGAATATAGCTCAATCAAACGTACTTTTCGTCGATCAACGAACTTTTCAGTCTCAGAATCCTTGGGATTATTTACATAATTTATTTGTAACTATGCTTAAATAATCTTTTGAATTTTAGTCAGGATGTTCATAGTTTGAAATTTCAATAATCCTGCTCAAATTTCAATTGATTCAATTTAAAATAAAAAAATTAAGGTCCATTACTTCGCTTTATAAAATTCCTGCTAGTGATCAATTTAGCCCAGCAGCGTTCAGAGATTTCGAAAAATTTCTATGATATTTTAAATATCAGAGACTTTGAAAATTTTTCAAGATTGCGCTCATGAAATAAAAAATTAAATTCTAGTAGGTAGGTACTTTGATCAATTATTTTTTTTAAATGTTTCAAGATTCTTGAACTTACGAAATTTTCAAAATTCTGACAATTTATTAAGTTACTGTAGTTACTCTGTATCCATGTTTTATGATTTTATGATTATGAATAATGTCTTCAATTATAAATAAAAATAATATGAAAGACCACCCCCCTCCCCCCACTTTCCGCTCTCCAACGAAGAAGCGGTGAAGGTATGTGAAGACATTTTTTCGATCTCGTTGAAGACTTTTTTTTAAAACACCTGTACCAGCGTTGCCATATATACTGATTTATCAAACAGATTAGATGCCCGAGAAAAGCGGCGCTGGTGGTGTAATGGTAAGCGTGATTACCTCTCACTCCAGCAGGCCTGGGTTCAATCCCAGTCGGCGCCGCCGGGATGTTCTGAGGCATAACATCTCTGATCACGCCTTCTTTCGGAAGGGAAGTAAAGCCGTTGGTCCCCGGTTCATGAGTTGATGGGTCGATAGGTAGGGTCCAGGTGTGGGAGCTGCCTCCCTGGCGTCGGTAGCATTGATGCTCAACACGGAAAACAAGATCGATGGAAAACAAAAAAAAAAAAAAAAGATGCCCGAGAATACCTATTTTTAAGATTTTATACCGATTTATACCGATTTAAAAAAATAAATAAAAATGATTATTGCATGCCTGCTCTCAAATTTCAAAGAAAAGTATTGTGAGAGACTTTTCTCTTTTTGAATATGTCTAAATTATTCATCTCTAAAAATTTATTATGCTTTATACTAGTGTTTCCATTTCCTAGCCGTTTTTGGCTACCCAGGAATCGAAAAATGAAATACTTTTATATTTGATGTGACCAGAAAGTTCCATACGAATTTACATTTTTTAACTTTCTTAAGTTCATTTAACCATCCTCCAACTTCTTTAAACTTTCTCCTGGAATTTCCTAATTACCTTAAGCTAATTTTCGATCTCTCCTGGAAGTTATTTCGACTTTCCTTGGAAGCTTCTTTTGGCTTCGGTCGATTTCCCCCGACATTTTGTGACTTTCCCTAAAAGCTTCTACCGATTTCCACCGGAAATTTCTTTCGTCATCCTCCAGAAGTCTCTTTGCTGCCGGAATGTGTTTTCCCTACTTCTCCTAGAAATTTTATTCGTCTTTCCGTAAAACCCCTTTGACTTCCTCCGGGAGAAGCTTCCAACTTCCTTCAAAAGTTGCTTCAAACTACCTCAGGAATTTTCTTCCAGGGTCTCCAGAAAGATTTTTTTTTATTATTATAGTCACTTTAACGCTCTTGGGTCATTCGTGACTTGTCCGGGGGTGAGATTTGAACTCGTGACTTTGGCGTGAGAGGTATGGATGCTAACCACTATTCCGGGGTCGCCCCCAGGAAGTTTCTCCCGTCTTTTGCAGGAAGTCCCTTTAAACTTCTACCGGAAGTATCTATCGAATTCTCCCTGAAGTTTCTTTCGTCTTCTTCTGAAAGTTTCTCCATGGGCTTTTTCCGGAGGTTTTAAGCGACTTCTATCGGAATATATTTCCGAACTTCTTCTAGCAACTTCTGAGAATTTTCTTCCGGTTTCCAAAATCTTGTGTCATCGTACTTTTTCCAAAAGTTTCTTTAAATTTTCTCCAGAAGTTTCTCAATATTTTTCTTGCAAGTTCCCCGGATGTTTTTACGACTTCGAACTTCCTCCAGAAGAGCTTCTTTCATCTTTCTGTGGAAGTTTTTTTATGGCTTCCTTTAATTCCAAAATTTCTTCCGACTTTCCTGGAAAGGTCGATCCTTAGTCCAAAAGTTGAAATTTTCGCTTTCGAAAATGGCAAAAATTTAAATTTGAAAACAATTATGACAACGCTGCCTGGCACCCTTGCCTGTTGCGTCTGTTGTCGTTGAGTCTGTTGCGTATCGATGAACCTCTTGACGAAGTGTCGGAGTTATGTTTGTTTGTGTTATTAGAACTTCGGTGTTTTCAGTCATTCCCTCGTGCTGTCAACTATTTCAATCAAAATAAAACAGTGAAAACAAGCTGCAGCATGTGTGGATTGGAAATCCCAGACTTGAAATTCCAATACTGAAAAGACTCCGAAGCAGTATGTAATAATCGTACAATATTATATACATTTCACAATTAAAAATATTTTTAGTTTTAGAGCATGTGGCAAATGAAGCAACCACGTATTTATCATTTTATTTTAGTAGAAGAACGGTATCCACGGCCATTGCGTCCAACACTGTAAAGAGCTTCGATAGCTCACAGTTGAAGTCAACCTCAATCTTTATTCATTATGAAGTGGAGAATGGTTGGTGTAAGCGCCAGAAAGCACAATTGCAACAAAGGAAAGGCAACACCATCCGGAACTGGAAAATGTGGAATTATTACTAGCAAGCTGTTCTACAAGCTAAATAACTGGCACTGTAGGGTTTTATGCAAATTAATTAGTCCCAAAAGGTTCCCGTGGTTGAAAATCCATTGCTGATGAACATGTTTTTAATATTACAGTTCGTGGCAATTGAAGCAACTGCATTGTTATCAATCACCGCCAAAAGAACGGTGCCCGTCGCCATTTTTTTCTACGTATCTGTTAAAATGAACACTAAATCAATTTTAAATATGTCAATATTGAGAATTACACATGTGTCCAACTGTTGCAATGATGATCAAAACTATCACCGATTGCATGCAAAAACCGCTTTCCCTAACACAGATTTTAAAATCGAATTCCATCCGTTCTTGCCCAATGGTGCTTATTCAGTCACCGTGTGTGCTGGTGTCCGGGCGGTCGTCATCATCATCAGCAGCAGCAGCAGTGCTTTCAGCGCGTGGCGTTGAAAATTGATCTCTAGTACACAACGAAAGCTGCAGCCCACATGAGCATCCATTCACCGAAGAACGAGGAAGAAGTCGCACCGCTACTGATCGGATTCAGTTGCGCGTCGTGAGCCGCTGTGGGCCATCTATGCCAAGCGCGTCACCCTCGTTCCAAACAACATAAAGCTCGCCAGCCTTATCCGTGTTGAACACCTTAATAGCTCAGCATTACTCAACCATCACGACAAAACGGTTCTTTTCAGGACCACCATAAATTATTGTTGTTTAATAGTTAACTTTCATTGAACTTTCGCTCGCCTTGCTGCCAGCCACATTACCTTCAAAGCTCTTTGATAATGTACCCAGCAATCAAACGTTTTTGGTCAAACACGTAACAGTATTGAAGTGGTACATAACTTCTCACAATGACCGAATACCACAGTACACAGTTCTAAACTGGCTTCCAACCCATCGGCCCTTTTCAGGACCACAAATGACTGATAAAAGAGTTAAATAAAAAGTTCAAGTAAGAGCTTTCAATCCATCGGTCCTTTGTAGAGAGGGTCTAGTATAAGAGAGGAGCGGGCTGGCTGGTTTTGAGCCAAAAGAACTGCCAAAGCCAGAGCCAATCGAGCAGCGCCTATCTTGATTGCATTGGTAGTGTTGCTAGAAATCACCTAGGCATAGGTTGCCAAGGCAGTTTGTTTTGAATCCGCTCCTCTCTTATGCTAGACCCTCTCTAGGCCTTTGCAGAGCTTGTATTGTCCAGGATTGGCTTGTACTACACGGACACCGACAGAGCACCTCAAAACAGATTTCTCAAATTGCTTCCGAATTTCAACCTATCGAACTTTTTCACTGATAACAAGATGATAAGAAATCAATTTCTAGCAACACTGCCAATGCAATCAAGATAGGCGCTGCTCAATTGACTCTGGCTCTGACAGTTCGTTTGGCTCAAAACCAGCCAGTTCGCTCCTCTCTTATACTAGACCCTCTCTAATATTTACTATACTTTTGCTGTGGCATCAAAACTACCTTTCGTAATCCTACGTCAAATGTATGGTCGTATCTTGGATACAACTTCTTACTTTTTCTCAAACATAGTGCCCTTTGAAATTCTTTTAAAATATGGCGCTTGAGCAAAAATGACCTCTAAGAGTCATATTAGTCAACATAGACAAGGTTTCATTTAAATCGAAAAAGATTGCGTCAGATTTCAGCTTTTCTGGGAATATTTTCCGTGGAACTGCTATATGGCAATTCCCGATCTAACTCAAGTTCAAGCAAAAAGCACGACACAAACCGAAACGTCGATGGAATTTGGAAAGCGTGAAGTCCGAATTAGTTGCTACTTTTTTTCAATGCTCGTTTGAATATGATATCCGCTTTGAGGATTATGAACGGAACCTGTGAGTTTGACATTCGTACACCTGCACCGGTGGCTCGCGGTGTATCCACGATGCTCTGGACGGTGGTGGAGGAATCGAGTGGATCCACCGTCCACCAAAGGTCATCGATGAAGTGGCGTTTTGGTTTTAGTACACCTCCGAGGAAGCGATGCCTTAGCACAAGACCTGGGTTAGTGTTTTGTTAGTGGTTAAAATGTTTGTTGTTAGTAGGATTACTAATTCGATGATTGTCGGAAGAGACATGTACCTGTCGCAAGACCTCCAACAATAGCAATCACCACGGTAAGTAAAACTGCCAACAATTGGAAAGATCCTTGCTTAGCAGCACTTCGTCCGAAACCCTGAAAGTTCAAAGTATTTCATGAAGATTGCGGTTCAACGGAATAAAAAATAACAATCTTACTCCAATAACCATTTCGTGCATTTCCTCTTCGGTCAGGGTAGAATTCAGTTTCATAGCCGGAAAAACACTGGTCAACGTATTACCGTACGTTTCCGTCGTTGCCAGTGATGCATAGACGGCGGAGAATACAGCGGACAAAAGAGCTGGCATGCCGTGTAGATTGTTGACTCCGCAGGTGTCAGAGATTCGAAGATTGGACAGCAGGGCTGGCTGTAAGTTAAGATTAACCTTGATTATTTCTGTACACATCGAATCAAACACACACTGTCTTACCGTCAGGAATCGATATCCAAGGACCGAGATCATTCCAGCGATTACACCCACCAACAGAGCCCCGAATGGATGGATCATCAGATTACAGATCGATCCAACGGCCACGCCTCCGGCCAGAGTCGAATTCTGCACGTGAACCATATCAAATTTCTTATCATGCGATATAATTGCAGACAGGACGAAAGTTGTCACGGTCGCACCCGCCAGTGACAGATAGGTATTGATGATAGCTCGTTCCTGTTCAGCTCCGTCCACCAGCGCTGAATTGAAGCTTGGCCAGAAGATCCACAGGAAGATCGTTCCAATCATGGCGGTAATGTCCGAACCGTATGACGAGCATTCCATGGGTCCAGTTTTGGCGTTCTCCTTACTAGGTCTGAGTATAAAACTCACCGCCAGTCCGAAGTACGCTCCAAAGGCATGCACCGTAATCGATCCACCGACGTCGGTGATCTTCATCAACTCAATCTGCAGGAATTCGTTGGCGGCAAAGATGGCAATTTCGAAAATCACCATCACCAACAGCTGCATCGGAGTAGTGCGACCGAGCAGTGCACCCATACTGATCAAAACGGCCGCGGCGGCAATGTCCGCTCCGATGAGATTATCTAGTGACAGGGGAATCTTGCCATCTTCCATTTCGTAGCAACCGCGCATGATGATGGCCCACTGGATTGCCAAGGCCGCCACCAGCAGGTTCAGTCCAGAGGCACTGAAGCCGTAGCGCTTGAGGAACGTCATCAGGAAACCGAAACCGATGAAGATCATCACGTGGATGTCCTGGAAATCTGGAATAATAGAAGGGAAAATGTTGGTTTGAGAATTGGGTTTGGATAATACAGGTGTCTTTTGAAAGTAGCGAATTCACGTATGGAGCCGTCAAATGCAATCCATTTCAGTTGTATCGTGGTCGTGTGGATGCGCTATCATCACTCCTGTATTCGTATTAATAATGACGCGGCACGGAGTGAGGTCTCAATTCCATGCTGGTGTTTACATTATGCTGGTTCAGCTCTGCCAACTAGCTCAACCAACTAGCACAAATCTCAGTTGCTCCTGAAAGCTCATGCTGGTAGATGCTGACGCCCTGTTTAAAGGGTGTATTCGATAAAAATGGCAAACACATATTTGCTCACCAAAATTAAACCGATTATTGGATTTTCTTGAAATTTACAGGGAATGAAAAACTACTAAGGGCCTGTTCATAAACTACGTAGACAGTTTTTTGAGATTCTTGACCCCCCCCCCCCTCCCCATGCGTAGACAATTGCCCATACAAAAAATTAAAATTTGTATGGACCGTGGATAATTGTCACCCCCCCCCCCTAAACTGTCTACGTAGTTTATGGACAGCCCCTAATGAGTTATGATTTGTAAAATTTGTTTTATTCAATTTCGTCTCCCATCCCGACTGCCCGCACCTTCCTTTTCACTCCACCCATCTAATTTTGTACATTTGATTTTCCCAATGTTGTTTTACAAACAAATTATTCAACTTCACATCCGCAAATCGCCTGCCAGATCAGGAACTTCTTTGCAAATTTCGGTAATTTCTTCTTTCGAACATCCTCCGGAACTTCGAACTTAGACTTGGACCACTTGTAAGAAAACTCCGTTCCTTCTTTCGGGCACTCAGACGCTCCTTGAAGGATCTTATCACACGAGAAACAGTTGTATTTGCAATTCCAAGCTTTTGAGCGATCCATCGGTGGGACGCCTTTGGATTTTGATTGTAAGTGCACAACATTTTGTCATGGGCAATTTCTTATTTCGACGACATGACTGGAACTACTGTATGAATAACTATGAAACTTGACAGATGTAAACAATACACTATGAATAAGATTTACTCAAATTTTCAGGGTTTTTTTTCTCATACGGTTCGAAAGTTACAGAAGATTTTCGCTGTGTCATTTTTATCGAATACACCCTTTATATTTAATTAAACGCGAAAATGGCATTCCAATTTTTTAGTGATTTTAAAGCGCCAATATATTTCAAGGAGTTAGATTCCGTTAAGAGATTTAAGGGGGGAAGTACAATTAGAAGGCCTAAAATGAGGCCTATCTTTGAGAGTGGATTGCGAGTAGGGAAATAAATGAATGTTAGCGATTCTTTATGTAGGGGAATTTACGTATTCTCGTCAATCTAAGCAGTGTCCACACTTCTATTAGCATTTTCTCAGCGTCACGCACATATATGACGTGTCTGTTGGTTTACATTCATCTGCTGCTTGCTTCTCTATCCATTTTAATCGACAGAATTCTTCAAAACTGTTTGAAAGCGTTTTTACAACGCTCTAAACTTCTCAGGTGAGTGTGACTATTGTCGGCAGCCTCGTTTTCTTCGGCAACCTTCCCATTAGAACTGCGTGTTAACCAGATGTTCTATTATCGGCAACTTGAAATCAACCATATTTTAGAGTACGTATGCTTCATTTGAATAAAAATCTGTCATAACAGGACTGCTCAGACGTACACATACAATCAAATTGAAGCTGAAAGACTAAAGAATCGTTTGGATGCATTCAGGGAAGTGTGTTGATGGGAAAACATAGTGAAATTAACGTTTAAATTTTGGTTGCCGAAAACAGTCAATGGGTGCCGAAGCCGACATTTACCCTATGTTATTAAGGATTTAATGAAGATTAATTATCAGTGACATTTTTTTAAAATTTTGCAATTTAGCCCAATTATTATAAATAATGTGAAGTCAATTTTTTAAAGCAGCACTTCGCGCCGTGCAGTCCCTACGTCCATGATCACGTCTGAAACAAAAAAAAACAGCACATTAAATTTGAAGGTACAGCGTACAACATGAATTAATTCGTATGTAAAAATAATGTTTTTTTCACAAAATTTAAAGTTGAAAAAAAAAAATTAAAAAACCCTATTTTTTCGACTTTGTTTATAAAAAAAAACATGTTATAACAAACAAATCTAAAAAATCTTTCTATTCATGTTGTGGATAATTTAATTATGAACATAAAACAGAAAACCGGAATTGATTTGAATGAAAACTCTGACCTGTACATTGCACGGCGATTTTGAAAACACTACTTTTCAGTAGAAGCATTTAGAGTTCAACTTTGACATGTTCAGCCATTTGACATGCACTCACTGAATTGCGTATAACTTTTTAAATAAGTTCCGGACGGCTTTATGCTTTTAAAGGCTCATTCCCAGATACATATAGAGTAAATTAAGCCAACAAAAATTTTTTCGAAAAAAAAAATTCTAATTGTACTTCCCCCCTTAAATCAGCATAAGAAAACTTTAATGCTTCTGACTAAGTTGTCCAAAGGGCAGCGACCCATAGATTAAGAAACACAAGATTTGTGTGTATAGTGGTTGATTGAGTATTTGTTTGACGTTGTTCAGTGTGCAGTCAGATAATGTACTATTCTGTTTTGAATTTTGAAATTGGCTCTGGATTTTTCTTAAAGCGATTTTTTTTTCTTCCCTTAGAATTGATCCTGTAATCTCAAATTGTGACCAAATTTGGTGTATCATCTTGTTTGAAAAATTCATAAAAAATATTGAGGCTTTAAAAGTTCTGTTCCCATCTTACGTATTGACCAAATCAAAACAATAAAGATAGCTTAAAAGTAGAATTTAGTAAAGTCCCAGGTGCTTTCTCGTAGCTTCATGTCACCGGGTTCGAAAGGGGCACCATGGTCTAGTTTGAATGGTTACAGAATCAACTCGATCATAAGAGGCATGTTGTGACATGATGAGCTCGGCTGCCTTAGACACCCGTTTTTGTTACTGAGCAGAAAATCGTGGGATCAATAGATTTAGAGTCACATTGCTTGCTCATCGTGTGTTTTGAGAATCTTGTCGTCGTCGTCATGGGTGCCGGATTTGAATGGTTACAACAACACCAGCTCGATCATGAGTGTCGTGAAGTGCTATTAGGGGCTCGGTGGCCTTAGAGCGACCGTTTTTACTTACTGTGCAGAACTTGATGGGTTTAATCTCAGATTCGTCATGTTCTTTCTTAACATGTAACACTTCAATTCACCCAAAATAAACCCTGCTGCAAACCATCCTTTTTATCAACACTGTGATTTCTCGTGAAAGTGCAGAGGATTTCCTGGCTTCCAGTAAAGCCAGTATCACGTCAACACATTCCTACCCATTAGGGTTAGGCACGGTTATATGGCAAAACGCAAAATCGTCCTCATCAAGCGAGAACAACCCTCCTGATGAATGTGGGCGTCTTAGTGGAATACCTGTATAATGAGAGAGAGAAGGATTAGTATTTTCCATTTAATTCCACTACTTTATTTGCTTATCCTTGACAGATACGCGTATTTCGTCTACAATGTGCAGACTTGTTCAGTGTCTTGTATTAGTACAAGACACTGAAGAAGTCTGCACATTGTAGACGAAATACGCGTATCTGTCAAGGATAAGCAAATAAAGTAGTGGAATTAAATGGAAAATACTAATCCTTCTCTCTCTCATTATAGAGAACAACCCTTTTATGGTTCCATTTGGGGTGCCAAACAACTGTCCTTAATTTGGGGACGATTGGTTGTAACCCGGCTTTCCGCATTGCATTCGAAATTTCTATGGAAATTAGTATGGCGAAACCTACTTCCTTGCATTTTCATTTTTAGATACCACAATTTTGCTTGAAATGGTTTTTAATACTCCAAAAGTTTGCATTTTTCATGAGCTATAATTAAAAAATAAATTATAAATATTGAACATATAGGGGAAGGAAGGGCACAGTGAACAGGTGGGGCATAGTGAGTATTTGTAATATTCCAGTTTTTAACATTTTTTTTTCAATTTTTTCTCAAAATTATTAAAATTACTACCGTATATATTTTCCCAGTTAGACTAAACTTTTCAAACCAACTTTATCTCAGACACCATTTAAAAAATACTACATTCATAATAAGCGAATTTTTGAAAAATGTGAAATGCCTGAGAAAACATAATTATGCAAAGTTCAATGCAGTTCAATCGGAGAAGGTCTAGTCAAAATTTTAATTTTTTAATCCTGGAACTGGTCACTAGGGGTTGATTTTGAGAAGCTAGTTTGTTTCCTTGATTTGTTTTTAGTCGATCTTGTTTTCCGTACTGAGTACCATGCTGCCGACGCCACACCTGAACCCTACCTATCGACCCATCAACTCATGGACCGGGGACTAACAAGCGTGATCAGAGATTTTATGCCTCAGAAAATTCCGGCAGCGCCGACTGGGACTGAACCTAAGCCTTTTGGGATGAGAGGCTATCACGCTTACCACTTACCCGGCGCCACTAGTAGCTATTTCGTGAAATACTTGTCTGAGTGCGGGCATAGTAAAAAACAGCAATTTTTAACTCTGCATGACAAATTCAGGGAGACCATCTATTCGGGAAAAGCGGGTAATGTGGGAAAAGCACCGGGAAAAATGTGGGAAATAGTCGAGAATTTCGATACAAAATTAAGAAATCATAGAATGTGCATGAGTTTGCAATTGTTTCAATCATTTACTTAGGAAATTGGGGCCATTGGAGCTGTGAAAACGGGAAAACCGGGAAAAAGTCGGATATTTGAAGTCATCGGGAAAAACCGGGAATTTAAATAACAAATTGGAAAAAATATGCTTCGTGCTCTCTTCGAAAAAAAAAACATCATTTTTGACCATGAAAAAAAAAATTAAGATCATTGGACTGGACTAGCTTTTCAGGATACAGTCACAAACAGTCCTCGAAAATTTTAGAATGTTTTCCAAAGCAGTTTTGAGCAGATTTTAGAATGAACCCTAGAGATAACGGCAAGGTATTTC